CTGTCTTTGTGCCCAGGAGAGCCACCCGAATGCTGTCTTTGGAGAAGTACTGATCATTCCTGCCAGCTAGGCCAGTTTGTGGGCAAGAGGCAGAGCCCCATGCCACGGAAGCCGGAGCTGAATGAGCTGAGCGGGGAGGCGCGAGACAGGAAGCAGGGGGCTGTCACGCCGCAGGCCAGGGCCGTTTTTCTGTTGTACCGTGGGGCATGGTAATGAATCATTTAGTAGTCCAGAGAAAGGGGAGCTTCTTTGTGAAACCCAGGGGTGGGCTGTGCCTGCAGAGAACTCCCTATCCCTAATAGCCTTCTCTACCTGAACAAGCCAGCGAGGGCACACACGAAAAGCAGATGTGGCCTCCACCTGGGCCAGGGAGCGGCCAGCTGAACCCCTTTACAGCCCTAGTTCCTGCCAGCAGTTGTTAACAGTATCGGGAAATCATGATTTTAGAGTCATGGGGGCGGGTAGTGCCACCTTTTTAACAAAATGTGACTACTGATCATTGAAAAACATTAACTACAAGAAAATCAGCAATCACTTTACTAACACTGCTGCTAATATAATGACTAGCATTTATATTCTATGCAGTTTTATAAGAGCCTATTTTTTTGGAGACAGACTTGGGTTTAAATCTCAGCTCCAGCCACAACTAAACAATAACTCCTGGCAGGCCACTTAGCTTCTCTAAATCTCAGGCTCTCCTCCTGGAAAGTAGGGGAAATGTCATCTATAAAGTGTTTATTTAGCATAAAACCTGCGCACAGTAAGTCTTCAGTCATTCAGCGACTATCCTTGGTTGCATAGCAGCTTTGGAAGGTAAGTATGCTAATGTCTCCCTTTTATAGATGGGAGGCCATGGTTCAGAGAGGTTGAGTGATGCCCAAGGTCACACAGCATGTAAGGACCCCAAGTCCCCTGTCCTTCCCACTACTACATGTGGCCTCTTTGAATGATTACTCTGTATGTGCTTCTCGGCACCATCCATTTCTGGTTCAGACAGTACAGTAACATACTCTGGTTTTACAGAGAAAGATGTTTCATTTTCATCATAAATTAGGGACATTAAATCAGAGCGGGGATGCCAGTTCACCCAAGGTCATCATTGTCATAGTGAGTCACCGAGGACAGCCAAGAATGCTGCTGTCCTGACCCATCTTCCTGCTGGCTCAGTCCTTCCTGAGCTGTGGGATTGGACGGGTGTGGTGGTGCCTTCATTTACGGATGTCAGAGTAGTGACGGGGCCAAGTGTTTCTCCAGACAGACCCTCGGATGAGCAGTGGGAAGAGAAAGTTCCTGCTCAGCAGCATTTCAACAGGACCCTCCTTTCCTGCGCATGCCACCCT